GTAGGAGTAGCAGCGGGTGGGGGCTGGTCCCCTCACCTCCCTCCCAAGCGTCATTTATTTTTTAATTTAATACTACACATCTAGTTTTGGCTTTGTGGGCCACAGTCTTCCCCCTGGCCGTGCCCCAGTAAGGAGCCTGGTGGCATCATGGTCACACGGTTTCAACCCCCAGGCTCCTCCTCAGGGGAAGGATGAGGCTTTCTGCTCCTGTCAGGGGTGATTACACGCTGTCCTACAGGGGCCCGAATTGGAGCCCTGGTGGGGTCAGCAGTTCGATACCACCAGTCACTCTGAGAGAGGAAGAGGAGGCTCTCTACTTCCATAAGGATTTACAGTTTCAGAGACCCACAGGGGCAGTTCCACTTTCCCTCGAAGGTCACCGTGAGTCCGAACTGACGCCATGGCAGGAGTTTCTGTCTGAGTGTCCAAGAAAACTTTATTGCTGGTTGTGAAATAACCATTTCTGAACAGTTTCCCCAAACCAGGCAGTGCAGGTAAGTATCTGGTTTCCCCAAACCAGGCAGGGTTGCAGGTAAGTATCTGGTCCCTCTGTCACAGAGGGACCAGACTTGTCCCAGAGGTTGCAGACCACACACAGCCCTGAACTGAGCTGAGCTGGGCCCAGACACAGTCAGGGAAAAAGTGGGGCTCCTGAGTGGCGTTTAGATCACCCCAAGAATGGGCTTTGGCTCTGTTGGGCACCGGGGATGTGTGTGTGGGGGCGTGCGGCGGCAGGGTTTCCTGGCGAGCTTCAAGGGCCGGTGAGCACTGGGCTGGGGCTCAGGCGCCATCAAGCCTCTGAGAAGATTGTTTTCAAAATCATCTGCAGCCGGAGGAAGAGAAAGGAAAAGCCCAGGGTTGGAGAGGCCCTGGGGAGGCCGCTCAGGGCAGGCTCCTGAGGATGCACGAACCAAGCAGGTTGGGCTGCCCTCGGATCTTCCCGAGAGATGAGAGATGTCCTTTCCTGGGGGTTGGCCCCCCAGCCCAGGGAGCCTGGTGGTGCTCTGATTCAGCATGGGGCTGCTAACCATAAGGTCGAAAGGTCAGCCGTGGTTGGAACCACCTGCTCAGAGCAGGAGGCAGGTCCAGTACTCTGCTTCCATCAACAGGACAGCCTGGGAACCCCGGTGGGGCAGGTCAGGTTGGCGGGGTCCTACAAGGTCGCTGCCTTGGGTTTGTTTTCTTCCCTGTGAGGAGATCTTCTTAGACCCAGGGGATGGTTGGTAACAAGGACCTTCCCCCAGAGCTGAGAGAGAGAGAGCCTTCCCCTGGAGCTGCCTTGAACTTGGAAGGTCTAGCCTCCTAAATGGGGGAAGGAGCCACCCAGGCGCAGCACTGCTGTTAGAACAGCCCGGAGAAGGGAAAAGGCACCAGACAAGCTTTTGGGTTTCAGGACTTAGTTTCGTTGCCTGATTACATCACAGTTTAACCTCATGGGGGAGCTACGCTGTTCCCAAGTTCTAAATATTAATGCAACCAATGCTCCTTAGACAGGTCCGAGGGCAATGATTGGTGGGCACACAGGGATCCATGTAGCCAGACTGGGATCAGAAATGGCTGGGGCTCCCCCCGGCTGGAGACTACTCCCTCACTACTCGTCACTGAAGGAGCCCTGGTGGCTTATGGACTGCTAACCCCAAGGCCAGCAGTTCAAACCCACCAGCTGCTTCAAGGGAGAAAGATGAGGTTTTCTATTTCTATAAAAAGTGCCAGTCTCAGAAACCCACAGGGCCACTTCTATGGGGTCCTAGAGGGTCACTGTGAGTCAGCATCCACTTGGTAGCAGTGAGTTTCCCTGGGACCACTCACCGACACTGGACATTTTTGCAACCAGACTGCTTCTAATCAGAGGCAGAGGACCCACATTTGAAATTACATTGCCACCATCACTGTACTTATTGCCAGGTGTCCTCAGGCTGGGCTTCACCCTGCGTGACCCACGCCCAGCAGAACCGAATCCCGCCTGGCCCCGCGCCATGCTCAGCCCTTGTTGCCACCCCTGGGTCAGCCCATCTCGTCCAGGGCCTTCCTCTCTGTCCCTGCCCCTCTACTTTACCAAGCAAGATGCCCTTCTCCAGAAACGGGTCCTCCCTGAGAACATGTGCAAAGTCTGTGGCACTGTGGCACAGTGTCTCGTCATCCTTCTAAGGAGCCCTCCCAAGAGATTTGTTTGTTCTTTTGGCAGCCCGTGGTACTTCCTACTTCCAACATCCTTCGCCAACACCATCATTCAAATGTATCCTTCTTCTCTGATCTTCCTGATTCGTGTCCAACTTTCCCGTGCGTATGAGGTCACTGGAGATGCCCTGGCTCGGGCCAGGTACACCTTAGCCCTCAAAGTGACAGCCTAGCTCTTGAACATTTTAAAAGAGGTCTTGTAGAGATTGGCCCACCACAATGTGTCCTTTGATTTCTTGGCTGCTGCTTCCAGCCAGGAGCACTGATTGTGAATGCAAGCAAGATGAAATCTTTGAAAACTGCACTTTGTTCCCTTCCTTGATCAGTGCTCCTGATTGGTCTAGTTGTGAGGATTTTGGTCTTTACATTGCATTGCAATCCACGCCGAGGGCTACAATCCTTGATCTTCATCAGCAAGTGCTTCGAGTCCTTGCTTTGAGCAAGCAAGATGGTATCGTCTGCCTATCGCAGGTTGTTGATAAGCCTTCCTCCAATCCTGATGCCGCATTCTTCTTCCGATAGTCCAGCCTCTTGGATGTCTTGCTCAACATCTGATCAGATAAGTATGGTGAAAGGGTACAACCCTTTCCTGAGTTTAAACCACTCAGCTCTGTCCGAATGACTGCCTCATATGGGCTCCACAGGAGCCCACATGTTCTGGAATGCCCTCTCCTCTCAATGTGCGCCATGCCTTTTTAATGGTCCACACAGGTGAATGCCTTTTACCAAGTCAATAAAACACAGGTAAACATCTTTCTGGTACTCTCTGCTTTCAGCCAAGAACCACCTGACATCAGCAATGTCAGCCCTGGTGCCATGTCCTCTTCTGAATCGGTCTGAGTTTCTGGCAGCTGCCTGGCGAGGCAACCATTGTTGTTGAGTGATCCTGGCAAATCGGTCCTAGCTTATGATGATATATTATTGTTAGGCAATTTCCACATTCTGTTGGGTCACCTTTCTTTGGAAGGGGTTCACATCTGGATCTCTTCCAGTCAGTTGGCCAGGTGTTGGCCTTCCAGATGTCTTGCTATAGATGGGGGAAACATCTCCGCTGGCTTTCTGTCAACCCCTGGACCCTCGTGTTTTGCTTGTGTTTTCTGTGCAGCTTGGACTTCTTCCTCTAGTCCCCTCGGTCCTTGACCACAGGTTACAACTGCCCACAATTTCATCTTCCCCCTCGCTTAAGGACTCTTGATAAACCCTTAAGAACAGTCTCCTGTGTGGACAAGACTCACAATCCCAGGGGATCAGGCTGACTGGCCGGATGCACTCCGTCACCCGTCGCATTCGGAGCTGAACTAATCTCTGTGGCTCAGTTTCCAGCCAAACAACCGGTAGGTCTCAAACCAAAATGAGGCCCGGTCCTGCGTCACCCTCATGATTGCTGTATTTGAGCCCATTGTGACAACCACTGTGCCCATCCATCTTGTCAAGGGTCTTCCTCCTTTACCAAGCAGGGTGCCCTTCTTCAATCTATATGGGGGGCTCTCTACGGGGTTTGGGAGATTGTTCATCATTCCAGGAGCTGACAGCCAACAACCTCGTCTTTCTCCAGTGGAGCAGCCGGTGGGCTCGGACTGCAGGCTGTAACGAGCCGCCCACTGTGTAACCCACTGTGCCCCAACCTTCCACATGCCCACGAACTGCCCAGGAGGCTCCAGTGTGTGGGGGAGGGCTCCGGCAGGACCTGTGTGTTGACAGCAGAGAGGGCTGTTAGGTAGCTGGAACAGAAATGCCCACCTGGCTCAGCAAGTAATCCGCCTTGCTTAGGTTCTCCAGGACTGAGAAGTGGTCCACATCTGGGAGTTCTTCAAAGGCCACCTCCCACCCTCCTTGGCACAGCACCTGGCAGAGGGGCGCGGGCAAGGGCTGTGAGGCTGCAGACAGGAGAAGTGGTGCCTCTCCATGCTAGCCCGCACCTGGTTCCTCTCAGAGGTCCACTAAATACTTAGGGTGGCCTTGGGCATCCTTGGGGTGGAAGAGGAAGGGTGGATAAGGTGGGAAGGAGGATATACCATGACTTTTAACCTCTGGCCCAGGCGGGAGCCAGGTGTACCTGAAAGAATTCCCTGGATTGTCGCTGGAATTCGGGGGAGTCGTGCTGAGCCAGGATCACCAGCATACGGGGATTGGGGGCCACGGGCTTCAGCATGGCTGGCAATAGCAGCTGAGGGCTGTTTTTCTGCGCGTCCTCCCTGGGAGGGGGCGGGGTCAGCAGAGAGGGAGGAGCCCAGGCCTCACCCCGCCCACCAGCAGGATCCCTCTCCTTGGCCAAGGCAGCAAAGTGGTTTCAGGGGAGTGGGAGGAGCCTGGGCTCCATTCCTCCCACCAGCAGGTTCCATCCTTTGGGGGCGGGGCATCAGAGACATGGGAGGAACTCGGGCCCCACCCACCTATCCGCAGAATACCAACTCGGCGAGAGGGGAGGGGACCTTCGCCCAGCCACCTGCAGGATGCTGCTTAGTTTGTGCGGAAGCAGGTGGGGTCCGCAGGGGAGAGGGAGGAGCCTGGTCATCACCCCACATAGGCAGGTGTAACTTGGTTGGTGGGGAGGGGGCGGGACATCAGGAGAGTGTCAGGATCCCGGGCCCAACCCCTGCCCACCCGCAGGATCCGGCTTGGCTGGACGGGAGGCGAGGTGAGGAGACAGACAGGCCAGGTGACTCACAGCGTCAGGTGGAGAAGGTCGTTGTCCGAGGTGTGGGTAATGGGCTCCAGGTCGTAGATGCCGCTCAGGAGGAAGAGGGCTGTGAAGGTGGAGGGCAGTTACGCCAGCTCGCCACTAGATGGCCCTCCCCCAGGCACCAGGTCCTTTGTCAGGTCTAGAGGAGGCCTACAAGGAAGCCCTCCCCACAGGGCCCAGAGCGTGCCCCCCTTCCTGTCCCGTCCCCCCCCGTGTGGTCACCTCACAGCTGCAGACGCCCGACCCCTCAAAAGCCTGGGGCTGGGGAGTGGGGGTGAGGCCTGCCGCCCCGGAGAAACCTTTGAGGTTGGGTGTGACTCCATGCTCTGTCCAGTTGGCCAGCAGCATCATGGCCGCCAGGTGGGCCCCCGCCGAGTGTCCACACAGGTAAATCCCCCTGGGGTGAGCCAGAGAAGGGGAAAGGGGCTCAGACCCAAGAGCTCTGCGATTTCCAGGAGGGTTTGCACTTGATTTCCCAGAGCTGTAAGCAGGACCACGGAACCCACTGTCCCACCTAACATGGCCCCCACCCACCCACCTGGGAGGGCACGACACCCACCTGTTGCTGGGATACTGCTTCTGGAGAAAGGCGAGACTCCTGGTGAGCTGGTCTACCATCAGGTCCACGGTGCCTGCCAAAGATGCCCGCTTGGTCAGCTGAGTGCAGCAGGGAGGGGGTGCTTCCCTCCAAGGTCCCCCAACCTGAGGAGCCCGCCTTACCTATGGGTGCAATGTCATAAGCCACAATGACCACGGCCACTCCCCAAGAGGTCAGAGGGTCAACCATGAAGGCTGACATGTCTTTACTGTGGAAAGAGACGTGGATGTGATTTTTGGAGGCAACATGGCCAGTAGGCTGCTGCCACCAGGTGCGGGACACACCACGAGGCAGATGTCCTGTCCAGCCAGAGCACCGGCTTGCTGTGACACAATGGATATCAGGAAAGGACAGGCTCTGGGATCCGGGTGCCTGGTTCCAGTCCCTGCGACACCACAGGCTAGCAAGGGAGCCCTGGGCCTGTCTTAGTTTTCTCTTGCTGCTACAGCAGCAATAGATGTGATGGCTTTAACTGACATTGATGCTCTTGGGTGAAGAGTCTGGAGGCCGAATTCAGGGCACCCGCTCCACGGGAAGGCTTTCTCTCTGGGGTGGCTCTGGAGCACCCATACACTCACCGTTCCTTGAGGGCTCCATGGTCTGGGCACCCATCCCCCCTGGGTCTAGGAGGTTCTCAGCACAGGGGCCCTGGGTCCAGAGCGCTGTTCACTCTTGGTGGCACGGAAGCTACTCCTCTCTACTCACTTCTCTCTCCTTTCTTCACTTGTGAAGTTAAGGGGATATCTCTCCTGATATCAGATCAGTAACATGACTGGGTGCTGACCTGAATTAGGGTGATGCATTCTACCCTGATCCTGCCTCATTCCCATGCAGACATAGCCCAGTCCTGTAACATAATCTAATCCTGCCTCATTCCCATGCAGACATAACCCAATCCTCTAATATAATATAATCCTGCTTCATTCACAAGCATAACCCAGGCCTCTAACATAACTAGAAAGATAAGGTATTCCACTCCTGTAAAGATTTACAGCCTCGGACACCCAGAGGGGAGGTTCTACATATGTAATGCTGCCTCAGGAGCCATGGGCAGGGTTTAGGGTTTACAGTGAATGACAATATGGAGGATAATCACATAACACTGTGAAGCAGGACAGAGCCACGTTGATACAGATTTGGGGGAAGTCACAATTCAATTCAGGACAGGAACGGACCTCAGTGAAGCTTTTAATCTGTTTTTCACCTATGCAATAAGGATAATTATGTTTCCTATGATATAATTTATAGAGACATGAAGATCAGACATGTAGAGAGTGTCCCCAAGGTGACTGTGTTTGAAGGGGGAAGACCTTATCATAGACAACTTCTCAGAAAGGTCCTGAGCAGTGATAGGGACCTAAAAGAGCCCAACAACCCCACTGCTGACACTAGGGTGGCCCAGTTTTCCCCTTTGCCCGGGACTCTCCCTTTCTTTCAAACTGAAAGCCTCATGCCTGTAAAGGCCCCGTCTTCTGTCATAGAGAATGAACTCATGGCCGTGAGTCGGGGGACTCCGTTTGGCCCCTGCGCCGCTGTGTGCATGCTGATGGTCTCCCTCATCCAGGGTGGCAGTCTTTGTTTTGTCTGTGTCCTGTTTACGGCTTAATAAAAGGATCACCATAGAACATGCTTCCACCAGGGAGTCGGTTCCCCCCTAGCACACTCCCAAGAGAAAGAAGAGGACATTCCAGACACAGAAACATAAGGGGGGTGGGGATAAAAAGGAGGCAGAAAGAGACAGAAGCTGGAAGAGGCAAAGATGGGCGCTCAGAAGGGAGTTCAGTCCCGGGTCGTTGTGATCTGGGACTCTGGCCTGCAGACCATGGGGGGTGGGGGACCCATTCTGGTGTGTGGATCCTTTGTTACAGCAGCCCCCCGGAAGCTTGGGCGCCGGGAGAGGGGAGTCTCCCCGTGTTTCTGCTCCAACTCACCTCCCACACTGCCACATCCCTCCGTGAACAAACACGAAGAAGCGCACGGCTGCAAAACAAAGCGAGGGCCCGTCACGTGACCAGAGGCACCCCTGGGGTGACTGGGCTCTGCGGTGGGACCTGCGGCAACCCCGGGACTCACTTTGCGAGGACACTCTGTCGGGGAAGTAGATGTCCAGTTTCTCCCTCTGTCCATCACCGTAGGAGACGTCCAGTAGGATCTTCTTGGTGGCCCGGGCCCGGGAGGTGGCTGTCTCGGGAAACAGACATGGCTCATTGGCACAACCCAAACATATCAGGGACCATCCACAGGCTCCTCCCCCTGAGTGGGCAGTGGCTTCCATGCCACCTCTGGAGGGAAGCCTTTGGCTGACAGTGGGCTTCAGCTGCTGTCCCTTCCTGAGCTTCAAGGCACGCACTCAGTTCTGGGCTCCAAAGTATCCCACAGGTAGGTGGTTATAACAGAAGCACGCTCACTCATCCAGATAAGCCTCTAATACTACCTGCTCGCATCTCTACCCCATGGGGACCATTCTGCTGCATGCTGACAGAGCTACAAGGGGCCTCCAAAGAGTTTTTGGAAAACTGGAAAACCCCATGAGCTTTGCTTTCTAGTTTTCTTAAAAACAAAAACAACTAATTTATTGTTGTTTTCATCTAGACCAGTGGTTCTCAACCTTCCTAATGCCGGGACCCTGTCACACAGTTCCCCATGTGGTGGTGACACCCAACCATCAAATTCTTTTCGTTGCTACTTCATCACTGTCATTTTGCTACTGTTAGGAACCGGGTGACCCCTGTGAAAGGGTCGTTCGACCCCCAGGTTGAGAACCGCTGGTCTATACCAAGATGAGACAGGACAAAAATGACCCCTGAGTGGTCGACTTCATCTGACCCCTTTACAGTAGTTTCATCACTTAAGCACGTGAGCCCCACCTACTCCCTCAACCCACCCACCCCGTCCGAGGTTCCCTCCGAGGAGGAAGTACCTCCATATTTCGGGTGCCCTGTAATCCCACACACTCAGCTGAGTCCATGCTTTAAATACACCCACTGGCTGTGCCCAGAGGTCCTGCTTATGTCCGCCTCCCCTTCCCCGCTAGTCTTCTTTCTGTATTTCTTCCAGGCAGTTCTATTGCAGTCCGTTCACGCAGCGTGTGATTCAGCAGTTCGATCGTGTCCAGAATTGCTGGGAGTCATCCCCACAGTTCATCTGCGAACAGCCCTCCGTTTCCCACGCCCTGTGTTGGAAACAAACCCAGTGGCTTTCTAGCAAGAAGTATTTTCTGTATCGAGTCCAACTCAAGGGGGAGGGAGGGGAAAAGAGGATACCCAGGGCTCAAGGAGAACGCGTTTTGGAAATGATGCTGGCAACCTAGGCGCAAACATGCTTGATCCAATCGATGTATGGAATGTTCTAAGAGCTGTAAGAGCTTCCAATAAAAAGATCTTAAAAAAACAAACTCCAACTCAAGTCCTTAAGTCCTATGCGAGTCCATAAGTCCCTTCTCAGACTCGCAGCCACATGCTGGTGATGCAGAAAGGCGAGTTGAAGCAGGAAGCAGGAGGTCACGGTGGGTGCGGAGTCTCTGGACACATGGCGGGGCGCTGACAGCTCTCGGGCAGGTGGCCCACGCTGGGCCCACCCTACTGCCAGGTCGCATTCCGCAGGCAGGGGGGCGGAGTGCAGAGAGGGATCCTCTGTGTTCCCTGGGCGGCGGGCGCTCATCAAAAAGGTGCAAGACATCAAAAAGGTGTCATCAGGCTGCGACCTGATCCACAGGTCTGACTCCGCCCCTCGCCAGGAGTGTCTGGTTGGCTTAATCCCTCCCCACCACACTCCCCAGGGCCCCCCAACCTCCCTTCATTCGGTTTTTCCAACACACTCGTTGAGGGCCTCCAGGACAGCCAGAGGCTCTTCCGGCACGAGGGCGGCCAGACTTTGGCTCACTGACTCTGGTCGCACCATTGGGAAAGACCAGTCGCTACAATGGCACATGGGGAGTAAGGTGGAGGGCGACGAGAGAAAGGAGCCCACACTGAGGAGGAAGAGCACAGTGGTGACAGCAGTGGACGCAGGGGCCCGAGGTGGCACAGGTGCGCCCATCCTGGAAATACCACAGGTGGATGGCTTCAGCTATCAGAAAGGTTTCTTCTCACGGTGGATGAGGCTGGAGGGTCTGAATGAGGGGGTGCTGCTTCTAGGGGAGCCTTTCTGTCCCCATCTCGGCGCTGGAGGAAGGCCTGTCTCTTCTGAGCTTCTGCTGGCAGGCGATCTTCCTGTGCCTTCGCACCTAGCTTCCCTCAGCTACCTCTCCTTGAATCCCTTCTATGTCTCATAGACTGGACCTGCTGTCAGGTGGGACAGTAGAGGGGCAGCCTTTTTAAAAAAGAGGAAGGTTCTTTTTAAAAAATCATTTTATTGGGGGCTCATCCAGCTCTTATCACACTCCATCCACCCATTGTGTCAAGCACATTGGTACATAGGTTACCATCATGTTCAAAACATTTTCTTTCTACTTGAGCCCTTGGTATCAGCTCCTCATTTCCCCCCTCCCTCATGAACTCTTGATAATTTATAAATTCCCACCCACCCCCATGTCTTACACCGACCGCTGTCTCCCTTCACCCACTTTTCTGTTGTCCATCCCTCTAGGAAGGGGTTACATGTCAATCATTGTGATCGCTTCCCCCAAGAGGAAGACTCTTGGCAAGATGGATCGGCACCGTGACTGCAGCTGTGGGCGGAAACGTTGGGACAAATGCGAGGCTGGCGTGGGGCCGGCCCGTGCTTCCTTCCCCTGCACCCAGAGTCGCCATGAGTCCGACGTGATAGCACTTAACAACAACACAATATCTCAAATTGATGGACTCAAGATACACCCAACACGAATCCTGCCTCGTGAACATACCAGAGGCGCACTCATTCCCAAATGGAATCACAACCACAGGCGTGGAGTTTAGGATCTACAACGTATGCCTTCGGGGAACATAATCCGATCCCTAACACCAGGCAATGCTCTCAAGAAGGAACTGAAGAAAAGACACAAGCCTCAAGTCACAAGACTGAAGGATTCGATGGGCAAAATATGGAACGGTGCTTCTTGGACAAGATGAGAGGGCTACAGAGTCGCTGTACTGAAAAGATGTGGTCGGCAGTCTACCGTTCCAAGAGGCAGCATATGATTAAGAACCAGTGATGCTGACAGAAGAAATCCAAACTGCACTGAGGCCACTGGTGAGAACGAGGCTCTAAGAAGGAATTCCAGTGGAAACGTTTCCACAAGCTGCTACAGAACCAGAAGCACTCTTTCTTCCATGCCAAGGGATTCGTAAAACAGCTACCCAGCCCCGAGACTGGCAGCAGCCCATCTTTAGGCCGATTCCAAAGAAAGGTGGCCCAACAGAAAGCAGAAGCCATCGATCGATATCGTTAAAATCACATGCAAGGAAAATGTTGCGAAAGATCATTTAGAAAACATCACTGCAGTTCATCGACAGGGAGCTGCCAGGAGTTCAGGCCAGAGTAGACGAGGACAAGGCACCAGGGAGATCAATGCTATCGGATGGATCCTGGCCAAAATACAGAATGCCAGAATGATGTTTACTTTACTTTGGTTTTTCTGATGACAACTGTGTGGGGCACGGCAAGCCCGGGTCACATTTGAACGCTTCTCATGCTCCTGTGCACGTGGAGCCAGCGGCACGTGTGCATACAGAACAAGGGCACCTGCTTTCACATCAGGAGAGGCGCGCTTCAGGCTTGTGACCTCTCACCGTCGTCCTTGGTGCTGAGCACATCATCCGAGGAGCTGGGCTCTCTGAAGGAGGTGGCCACAGGATTGGAGGGCGGCTTCTTAACCGCCTGTAATCTGCAGGTGACACGACCTTGCCGGCTGAAAGCAAGAAGCACTCGCTGGTGATCCACAGCCTTCAGTAGGGATTGCATCTCGGTGGAGAGAAAACTGGAATCTTCGAAACTGGACCAAAAGACAAAGTGTGAAAAGTGGAGGAAAGATGGGCACTGGCCGGGATTGCACCTTGCCCCGATCCACCATCGATGCTCCTGGAAATAGCAGACAAGAGACCCAGCGATGCTGTGTGCAGCTGGGGTCCTGACAGCCCCACCACTCCTCTTCCACGAAGAGGTGACACAGCATCTGGTTACTCAGGAGCATGACAGAACACCAAAATCCAAACTCACTGCCCTGAGTTCGGTGCTGACTCACAGCAGTCCTACAGGACAGGGTAGAACTGCTCTGTGAGTGTCCAAGACTTGACTCTTAGCAGGAGTCGAAAGCCCCATCTTTCTCCCGTGGAGTGGCTGGTGGTTTCGAATTGCTGCCTTTGCAGGTAGCAGCCCGCATGCTGAGCGACGATGTGCCCAGGGCACCTAGGGGCAAAGGGGGTTTCTGGAAACTCTTGGTAAACCCTGAGTCCAATCCATAAGGCCTGAAGATCAAGAAAATGGTGATAAGCACAGGGAAGAAGTGGTATAAGTGAGGGGACAGGAGGGGATTGGAGAGAGGGGGGGAGGGAGGATGGAAAATTATGATCGCCCTCAACAGGACACAGAAGGGTAGGATAGTCTGGCTTAGGCATGGAGAGATTGCTACTCCTCCAACCTGTAGACTCGCCGGCCTTACTCAGCAAGAAGAGGTTATGAAAGATGGAGACCTTCAGACACCTCTCGGAGCGGGTAGGATGAGCAGTTAGGAGGGCGGAGGGTAGTTGAGGTAGTTACATAATCTCGCGTCAACTTGAGGATATTAAGAGTGAAGGGGGTGGAGCCTCGCCTGTCAATCAGGTCGCAGTCTGATGATGCCTTCTTGTGGGCGTGGCCTTCTCATGAGGATTCTGGGAACTTCCTCTCTCTCTCTGCTTCACCCTCCTGTTGACGAGCCACAGGGAGTCACACCACGTGGAGTCACGCAGATGGCAGCCAGAGCCCTGGAGATGGATCCACCACCATTGGGTCCACAAGGCTTTGCACCCACCCGCCTGTGACCCTCCTGCACTCTGCATCATTGCTTGTGACTGCGTGAGTCTGAAGGGGGATTTATGGACTAGTATTGGACTTAGGGGCTAATATCGGACTTAGGGGCTTGATCTGGACGGGTCTGGATGTTTTCTTAATATACAATGACTCTTTGATATAAAGTTATCTATTACACACATACCTGTGTCCTGGATTTGTTTCTCTAGTCCACCCGGTCTAACAAAGTAGTAAAAGACAGTGGGACTTTATGC